GGCAGAATCCTGCTAGGCCTAGAGATCAATTTATTTTTTGGCTTTCCTGTCATGACAGGTTAGCAACTAAGGACCGACTCTTCAAGATTGGAATGCAAATGGATAAATTCTGTGGTTTTTGCGACATGGAAGAAACAATTGGTCACCTCTTGTTTGATTGTGATGAGTATAAATATATTTGGAGCAATATCCTTGATTGGATTCAACATTCGCACTATCTCAAAAGCTGGAATGACGAACTCAATTGGATTACCTTGCATGGAAAAGGAAAAGTTTGAAGGGTTACTCTTATTAAACTTGCAGCGGCTGAAACTGTTTATGGTATTTGGAAGCTTAGAAATTCCTGCATATTTGGCTCTAAAAGTGACAAAGAAACTACTATCCTTGAGATAAAGAACAAGATTATCTTTAAGGGATGGTTCTGTAAAAAGACTAAGCCTAGAATTATTAGTTTAATGCTAGAATAGTTTAGGCTTTCCTTGTCTTATTTTGTCCTCTGGTTTTGGCTGGATCCTAGCGATCGCCGTGTTCTTTCCTGCTTTTTTTTGGTAATTAAGGTATATTTCTTTCCAAAAAAAAAATACAATTCAACTCCTAATCCTAAATATTTGGTATTATTATAAGTGTTGAGTAATTTAAAAAAATTAATTTTCCTCTTAATTTTAAATTTATTAAAATACATTGTTAAAAATATCATTTTGAGAATATATACTCAAATAATATACATCATCAAAAAATCACTTCAATAAACATCTTATATTTTAAGGACTGTAACTAGTAAGCTGAATTCACATTAGACGTCTATCAAACTATCATTTATAAAGTTTAAATTTATTTTTTAAATGATTAACATTCACATAGTCACAAACAGTATTTATAATATACAATAACTTTTAACCATTGATTTGTACTTATAATAAACTGTACATTCAATTCTCTAACTTCAATTATATAAAATAACAACAAAGGAAAGATTTAAAATATATATTAAAATAAATAGTCTACAACTGGTATCTCATAGATGCATTCACATTTACTCGTGAAATCATTTCAAGTATTCAGTTGGTTAACATTCATATACTTTTAATATATAATCATTTATCAATTTTGAATTTCCCATTTATAAAAATAATTGAAACTTATCTCCATTTATAAAAATAATTGTATCAATAGTTAAATTTTCCCGCTTATAAAAATATTTCTAATTTATTCATGTTTATAAAAACTATTGTAACTTATTGTCGTTTGTAAAAGTAATTATATCAATATGTAGAATTTTCCCCATTTATAAGTGTCTTGAACCTGTGTGATAATTTATAAAAATATTTTAACTTATTCATGTTAAAAACAATTGCATCAATAGTTAATTTTTTTTTTCGCTTATAAAAATATTTGTAACTTACTGTTGTTTATAAAAGTTATTGTAACTTATTTTTGTTTCTACAAATAATTTATTGTCAAGTAAAATAAATATTCTAACCAATTAAAATAAATTTATTGTTGAAAATAAAAAATTATAATATTAAATAATAATAATATAACATTTATTATTGTATATATCAGTAGGGAAAGAAATAAATAATTAAATCTAAGAATATAGAAAAATCAATTATAATATTAAATAATAATTTAACATTAATTATTACAACGAATTATACATAATATTTCAAAATTATTATTATTATTTTTATTTTATTATATTCGATTTTTAATAATTATTTTAAAATTTAGTGTGATTTTTCAATAATTAAATCTTAATAATATTATATAAAATTAAATTAATAAATAAATTTATAAAATTAAATATTATATAAATATTTAATATTATACTATGAATTTAAATGAGATTTATATTATACCATAAATTTATATATAATAATTGTAACTTATTCTCATTTATAAAATTATTGTAACTTTTTTTCTTCGTTTATAAGCATTTTGAACCCGCGTGCCTATTTATAAAAATATATGTTGAGTTTATTACGTTTATAAAATCATTTGTAACTTATTCTTGTTTAGGAAAATATTTGTAATTTATTCAATTTATAAAAATGATATATTTTAAAAATAAGTACTACACAAAAACAACCAAAAAATTTAGAATCTATCTGTATACATAAGATCCCAAACAATATATTTAAAAATACTTAATATTACAAAATAAATATAATAATGTATATCAATGAGATTGTAAAAAAATACAGTACGGTATAATATAAAGATTATTAAAACATATATAAAATTATCATCCATGATTTATTCTTTTATATTTATCCGAGATCTTCGAAGTTAATTAATATTATGTTCTCGATAAACAAACAGACATATGAGAGATTGCTCAAAAGAAAAGAAAAAATTATTATTAAAAAAATACAAAATTATTACAATTTATTACAAATCTTAAATTATAGAAAAATAAAATATAATAATAATATATTTATTATAATTAAATAAAATTAACTGTTATTATTTTTATTTTTTATGAAATAGCAAATATTCATAATACTATATACATTTGAAATAAAATAAATATGTATCCTTTCAAATATTTTCAATAAATCTTCATAAAATAATAATAAAATATTATTTATATATGTAAATTAATTATATTATATAAATTTATATTATATATTAATTCAGGATTGCATCTAAAATAATAAATTATATAATAAACTAATACAATATTGTTTATACAAATAAATAAATCTACTATAATAAATAGACTAAAATATAATTCACACATTTTAACTTAATACACATAAGATATAAAATATAAAATATAATCAAATATTTATAGAAAATACACAAAATTAAAATATAATCTTTATTTACCATATATATATACACGATCCTTTCAAATCTTTTCAACAAATTTTCATAAAATAATAACATACTAGAATAACTTTGTTTTTTTTTTAAATCCTTAAATATAATCTTTAAATTATTATATAACAAAATCACTGTTATTCTGTCTAAAAAAAAATCTTTTTGTCTACAATTTGAAGTATTTACAATATCGCATTGAATATCTCGAAAGTAGATGGTCAGTCCAAACATTATTTTTCTCATTTATACAAATAATTGAGTTTATTCCGTTTATAAAATCACTTGTAACTTATTCTCGTTTATGAAAACAATGGTAACTTATTCAATTTATGAAAATGATATATTTTAAAAATAAGTACCGCACAAAAACAACCAAAAAATTTAAAATTTATTTTACTTAAAAAATACTTAATACTGTAAAATAAATATAGTAATGTATATCAATAACATTGTAAAAAATACTGTACGATATAATATAAAGATTATTAAAACATATATAAAGTTATCATCCATGATTTATTCTTTTATATTTATCTGAGATCTTCGAAGTTAATTAATATTATGTTCTTGATAAAACAAGCAAACATATGAGAGATTCCTCAAAAGGAAAGAAAAAGTTATTCTTAAAAAAAATGAAATTATTACAATTTATTAAAAATCTTAAATTATAGGAAAATAAAATATATCAATAATATATTTATTATAATTAATTAAAATTAAAGTTGTTATTGTTTTTATTTTTTATGAAATAGAAAATATTCATAATACTATATACATTTGAAATAAAATAAATATGTATCCTTTCAAATCTTTTCAATAAATCTTCATAAAATAATAATAAAATATTATTTATATCTGTAAACTAATTATATTATATGGATTCATTTTATATATTAATTTAGGATTGCATCTACAATAATAAATTATATAATAAACTAATACAATATTGTTTATACCAATAAATAAATTTATAGAAAATATACATGAAATATAAAATATAATCAAATATTTATAGAAAATAATACAATATTTATTTATCATATATATATATATAAAATCCTTTCAAATCTTTTCAACAAATTTTCATAAAATAATAACTTATCACAATAACCTTGTTTTTCTTGAAAATCCTTAAATATAATATTTAAATCCTTTGTCTGCAATATGTATCACATTGAATATCCCGAAAATATCATTTTTCATAAGATTTATGTCTTGAATCAAATTTCTAACCAACAAAAGACAAATCATTAATATTTTGCCAATGAAAACACCAGGTAAACTTTTATAGCCTAACTCATAAAGGGTCACTTTTCTCCATCATTCAAAGTGGATACTAACACTTTCTTTCTTATTATTACCTCGAGCAAAGCAAAGTTGTAGCTTAGTTTATATTATTATCTTACTCCCACTGTCAAAGATATGTTAAAAAAAAATAAAAACTGAATACCTAATGCAATATAGCCTGGGATACCAATAATCTGAATGACTAAAAGAAACTTCCTGTATAGGACAATATCAAACAATTACAAAATCAACTACTATGGAACATTTATCTAGTATATTTGTGTAACCTAAATAAAATTTAGGGTTTGGAATGTATACAACCAAAATAAATCAAAACAAATTAAAAAATATATGAAAAATTCTTGGCGCGAGTGGAATAAGACAATATTATCCATAGTATTAATAAAAATTAGATTTTAATCAATTTAGTTAAACCTGATATTTATATATATTAGAAGAAGAAAATGGGCCACACTCAGTATCTTCAAAACTGGTCTCTTTTTTCTTTTGCTCAAATAATTCTTTTAAAAAAAAATAATTATATTTTTGTCTATTAATCAAATGTATCCGATCAATAATTTTCTTTCTAAAAATAATCTCGATAATAATTATTCATGATATTATATAATTCTTTAACTTATATTTATGGAAAACGTTTTAACATAATTGATACTATATGGGCATTGTGTTTCCCATAATATAGAAAGACATTAATATTTTGCCTAAAAAAGAACATTAAATATTTCTTACCTAATATCATCATAGTAAGCATCTTGGTTATTATTTAAAAACGTTATGTCAATCAACAACATTGAATACATTTGATTTCTTATATTAACCTAGTACACTTTTTCTCAAAAATCAAAAACCAAACTAGAATGCAAAAAATGAACACAAATTTTTTGTCTGTGTTTTGCTTACTAGTTTGTATTGCAGAAGCAAAAAATGAATACAAACTTTTCAATGTATTGAATTATGGTGCCCGTGCAGATGATAGAACCGACAATACTATGGTAAAGGCGTGTTCGTGTTCGTATTCGTGTCAGTAGTTTTTTAAATTATAGTGTTAGTGTCGTGTTTGGGTGTCTGTATTTCGTAGTTATTATTATTTCTTCTTACAAGTTTGATTTTGATGAGCTAGGCATTTTTGAAAGCATGGAGTGATGCATGTAGATGGAGAGGAAAATCAACGGTTTTGATTCCACAAGGATCATATATGCTTAATGAAGTTATATTCAGTGGTCCATGTAATTCTTGGATGAACTTTCAAATTGAAGGAAGATTGAAAGCTCCAAGTGATATATACTCATTTAAGACTGATAGTTGGATAAGTTTTAGATATGTTAACAATCTATATGTTGGTGGAGGTGGCACATTGGATGGTCAAGGAGCAGTTGCATGGGCCAAAAATGATTGTCAAAAGAATCGAAATTGTCGAGTACTTCCGGGGGTAAGTTGTTTTTTTTATAGATTTAATCTTTGTAACACTGATCTTTTCGAAAAAAAATATGTGTCTGTATTCGTAGTTGTGACCAAAATTGACACTGATATTTGATTAGTTTAATTAATTAATTTTTTAAAATTATTATCGAAGACGACTAGTTGTGATATTAATAGTTTTATATATTGTTTACCAGACAATGACATTTCAATTTATCACCAATGGTTATATCCATCACATGCGCTCGATTAACTCCAAACAAAATCATTTCACGTTGTATGGATGTAAAAACATGGTGTTGACAAAATTAAAGTTAATAGCTCCTTTTAATAGCCCTAACACAGACGGTATCAAAATCGCATTGTCGATGGGAATAACGATCACGAGTGTGAGTATTGGAACGGGCGATGATTGCATTGCTATGCTCTATGGTACTAAAGGGGTTCGGATTTCGGATGTCTTTTGTGGACCTGGTCATGGAATTAGTATCGGAAGTCTTGGAAAGAATAACGGCGAAGAAGATGTTGATGATATAGTTGTAAAGAATTGTACATTTAGTGGTACAAATAATGGTGTTAGAATCAAAACATGGAGTTCTATATTGCAAACAACTACGCATGTTTCTAATATTCATTATGAAGATATTGTGATGGATAAAGTGCAAAATCCCATCATCATTGATCAAAATTATTGTCCAAGTCTTCCATGTAATGCAAAGGTTTGTACTCCTAATCCACACTTTTGACCTAATTCACTTTTTTTTTTAATATTTGAGATAAGATCTCTAACATTTTTTGACTATTTAATTTAATCTCTTGCTATCAATTTTGTGTAGGGAGAGGTTTCAAGTGTACAAATAAGCAATGTGAGTTACAAATATATTAGAGGAAGTGGAAATGCAGATGTTGCAGCAAGTTTGCAGTGTAGTCCAAATAAACCATGCCAAAACATAACAATGGAGAATATTAATTTGTGGCCTAGTGGTAGGAGTAGAAAACTAAACAATGAGTGTTTGCATGTTATTGGTGCTTCATATGGCACACAGATCCCTCATGCTTGCATATAGTTTTCTTGAATCCCTTAGAGTTGGCTACATGGTTTAACTTCTAACATAATGTTGTATCCAAGACGATGCTTCTATTTAAAAATATCACTATATCAATAATATGATTGCTAATATTAAGAATAATGTTGCATTAATATGAATTAGGTGTAAGTGATGCTACAAATGTGTAATCATTATTTGTTTGTGTTATGAAACTGTGGGAGATACAGGCGTAATTTTCCTCCATAGTTTTACTCCCATTTTTTCAATTTTCTTTCACAATAAAAACTTGCAGATCAAAGTATAATACTTAGTTGTGGCTTTGTTTTTGGCATAAATGTTAGAACTCTACCTATAATCTATTCCAAAATTTCCTAGCAGATTGATATTTCCACAGTCTTTGATCTGAAATTGGTGATGAAGAGCTTTGACATTAGTAATTTCCGAAAGATCATTACCTGTTAGAACTATATCGTCTACATATACTAACAAAACAGGAAAACTATTAGCATGAGATTTGGTAAATAAAGAATGGTCAGCATTGGAATAAATGTAGCCTAGAGAAATAAAGATTCAGAGAGTTTAGAATATCATTGTCGACTAGCTTGTTTAAGCTTACAAACCTATGAGGGGGGAAGGAGAATAAAAAAAGTGTACCCTTGTGGAAGAGTCATATAAACTTTTTTATTCAAATCTCCATGAAGAAAAGCGTTGTTTACACGAGTTGTTCTAAATGCCAATTTTTTATAGAAGCAACAACCAAGAGTGTACGGACAGTAGTGTGATTTTCATTAGGGAGAAGGAGAGGGTCATTATTAAGAAGGTTACAGTGGTAATTGTTGTTATAATGAAGCGGACTTCGTTATCTTTCTGTTTTGGGTAAGAGGCAAACTTTCTTCTATATTGTTGTTATAAATAAAATACACTCTTAGTCTTTATATAGACTCGGTGACTTTTACAATTCAAGAAAAGATAACTGCTACTAATAAAAACTATCATATCTTACTAATCTTTTGACCTTCCAAATTACATTGGTTCTTAATCTTCCTACTATCTTATTTAATAAGAAAATTTATTACTAATGACATTAAAGTTTACTCAACAAAACTCCTTTGTAAACTTAAATGTTTCTTCCATCCAGCATTCCTATCATCTTCTTGCCTCTGTCGAAGATCTCTTTCGATAGTGGTTTTGTGAAAATATCCGTTGCTTGATTCTTGCTTACTACATACCTCAATTCAACACTACCTTCCTTTACATGTTCACGAATGAAGTGAAATCGAACATCAATGTGTTTGCTTCGTTCATGATTCACTGGATTCTTTTCCAATTTGATAGCTGATTTATTGTCCACTTGTATTATTATTGGACTTTCCTGTTTTAGCTCCATCTTGCTTATCAACCTTCTGAGCCATATTGCATGACAGACGCACCAGGATGCTACCACATATTTCATCTTCACACATTGAAAGTGTTACTATAGGTTGTTTCTTCGATAGCCAAGTAAATGATGTGTTTCTCATGAAGAACACATATCCATAAGTGATCTTTCGATCGTCTATGTCTCTGCACCAGTCACTGTCAGAATAACCAACTAACTTGTAGTCTTCTATTTTCGAATAAAACATTCCAAGTGATATTGTTCCTTGGATGTACCTTAGAATTTGTTTCAGTGCCTTCCAATGTGTGTGTATTGGCTCCTCCATGAATCGACTTACAATGCCAACACTTAGTGAAATGCCTGGCCTTGTGCATGTAAGATATCGAAGGCTACCTACCAAACTTCGATATTTTCTTCCTTCAACCCATTCTCCTCCGTCAAACTTTGACAGTTTTGCACCTGGTTCCATTGGCGTCGAAGTTGGATTGCAATTCTTCATCTTATATTTTTTCAGGATTTCCTTTGCATATTTTTCTTGTGAGATAAAGATTCGAGTTTCTTCTTGTCAAACCTCCAGACCAAGAAAGAATCTCATCAGACCTAAGTCTGTCATTTCGAATTCGCTTGTCATAGTGCTCTTGAAATCTTCGATCATCTGAACATCACTGCCTAGAAAAATACAGCCATCAACATAGAGAGCAACAAGTAATACATTACTTCCATTTTTCTTCACATAGAGGGCAGGTTCATAAGGACATTTCTCGAACCCATTCTCCTTGAAATATGTACAATGCGTGTGTTCCATACCCTAGGTGCTTGCTTTAGCCCATACATCGCTTTCTTCAATTTCAACACCTTCTTCTCTTCTCCAATTCTCATATACCCAAGTGGTTGTTAGACATAGATTTCTTCTTTGAGAACACCATTCAAAAATGCTGTCTTGACATCCATTTGAAATATTGGCCATTTGAATTGAGCAGTTTGAGAAATGAGCAATCGAATTGTCTCTATTCTTGTAACAGGCGCAAACACTTCGTCATAGTCAATTCCTGCTTTCTGTTTATATTCTGTCGCAACCAGTCGTGCTTTGAATCTTTTGATTTCTACTTGAGCATTCATATTTTTCTTGAATACCCACTTTACACCAATGGGTTAACTACCTTTTGGCAATTCAACTAGCTCCCAAGTGTTGTTACGTTCTATTGCTCTAATCTCTTTGTCCATGGCACTTTTCCACTTCTTGTCTCGTAACGCTTCTTCGAGAGTGATGTTTTCAGCATATGCCATAAGGCACACAAGATGCACCTCACTTTTTGAATCATATAAATCTTGCAAACTTCTCATTCTGGGTTGTAGATGTTCATCTTCATCTTCAGTTTCTTCATGTTCTGTTGGAATACTTGTTGGTACAGCTACAGTTATTTCTTCGACTGCGTCAATAACCTCTGTCAAATTATTCCAGTCCCACTTGCTTGCTTCGTTTATTCAAACGTCTCTACTGATGATCACTTTCTTGCTTATGGGATTGAATATCTTGTACCCTTTCGTCTTCTCATCATATCCAATGAATATGTACTTCTGACTTTTGTCTTCAAGCTTTGTTCTTTGTTGATCTGGTACATGTGCATAAGCTACACTACCAAATACCTTAAGATGAGAAACTGTTGGCTTCTGTCACTCCATGCTTCTTGTGGTGTTTTGTCTTCTAACTTCGAATATGGACATCTATTCTGAATATAAACAGCATATTGTACTGCTTCTGCCCTGAATTCTTTCGACATGTTCTTGCTTTTGAGCATTGATCGAATCATGTCAAGAATAGTTCGATTCTTCCTTTCAGCCACACCATTTTTCTGAGGTGAATATGGTGCAGTTAGGAATCTCCTTATGCTCTTTTCTTCACAATACTTCAAAAATGTCATTGAAGTATACTCACCTCCTCTGTCAGATTAAACTGCTTTAATGTGTCTGTCTGTTGCCTTCTTCATCATTACTTTGAACTTTTTGAACACCTCTAATGCTTCAGATTTTTCTTTCAGGAAGTAAACCCATGTCTTTCTTGAGAAGTCATCAATAAAAGAAATGAAGTACCTTTCTCCACTGAAGGATTCTGGAGTGATTGGCCCACATATGTCAGTATGTATCAATTCGAGAATATGTTTAGCTTGATATTCTGCCTTCTTTTAAAATGAGGTTCTTGTTTGTTTGCTTAGCACAGATTCTTCACAGAACTTTCCTTCGTAATCCATGTCTGGTAGTCCATGCACCATATTCCTTTTCGCCAATCTTCTCAAACCAGCATGATGTAGATGACCAAAGCGCATATGCCATGGTGACGCTTTATCTTGCACTTTTATTTGCAGACATTTCTCTCGAACGTTCCCCAGGTTCAGTTTGTACATTCGATTTCTTTCCATTTCGACACGGGCAATCAGATGTCCTACTTTGTCCTTTAAATGTAGTGTTCGATCTTTCATAAGTATCGAAGCACCTTTTTCTGTAAGTTGTCCCAGACTCAATATGTTGGTCTTGAGATCTAGTACATAGTAAACGTCTTCGATTGATCCAATCAAGCCATCCTTCTGCAAGTAACTGATTGTTCCCTTTCCTTCGACCTTCACTTTTGATGCATCTCCAAAAGACACATTGCCATCTTCAATTCTCTTTATATCTTTAAACAGGTGTTTGTAACCACACATGTGATTACTTGCTCCTGAGTCAAGATACCAAACATTGTCATTATTGGTGTTGATTTCGTTTTGAGCCATCAGGAGAAAGCCTTCATTCGATTCAGCTTCTAAGGCTAGGTTGGTTGTTTGTTCAATCTTCTTTTTTATTCGACGGTCTTTTGCAAGATGTCCCACTTTGTCACAATTGTAACATTTGTAGGAGTTACAATCCTTCACGTAATGACCATACTTCCCACACTTGTAGCATTCTAAGTTGGAGTGATTCGAACGACCACCTCTTTGACCATGTCCTCTGCCACGCCAATTTTGTTGGCTCGATTGTCCTCTTTTGAAGTTGCTACCTCTACCACTTCGACCACTGTCACGACCTCTACGTCCACATCCTCTTCCTCGAAAGTTTTGAGAAAAGAGTACCTTTTCATCTTTGTTCAATTCCTTGGTTTGATTTGCTTCTTTGTTTGCTTCTTCTTTCTTTTTCATCTTCCGTTGTTCATGTGCTTTGAGAGAACCAGCGAGCTCTTCAACTGAGAGCATCGAAAGGTCCTTCGATTCTTCTATTGCATACACAATATTCTCAAACTTGTCTATTAAAGATCTCAAGATCTTTTTAACAACTCGTGCATCAGTTACTGTCTCTCCATTTCCAGTGAGTTGATTCACCACCTTTTGCACACGTGTGATGTAGTCAGATACAATTTATGTATCCTCTCCAATTCGCCACGAAGAGTTTAGAGTCAAACTTGCTTCACTCGATCTGCTCCTTTGAACACTTTTTATAACATGTCCCACGCTTGTTTCGACGTAGTCGAACCAACAATTTTTTCGAAGCCTGATTCATCTACAACCCTGAATAACATGTATAATGCCGTTTTGTCCTTCGATCGTGTCTCTTTCAACGACTTCATTTGAGCTGTCGTATATCCCCCAACTTTTGTTGGTTCTTCAACCCT